TGGAAAGATCAAAGGTTGATTTTACGACCACATGAGCAAACAAGTTAGTTAGGTAAACTCACATTCCTTTATTTCTACTCTATTTAACTAAGGGGACAAGGCTGACTTCAGCCAATTCAGCCAAGTACAATAGTAAAGACCCTCAGGCCTTCCAAAAGAGCTTCTGTATATTCTCTATAGCTAAAATTTCTCCTACTAGCCTGACTGAACCCCCACACCCAGCCATCAGAACTGATCAACCAGGAGGGTACAGCTGTCCCAGGTCAGGCCAGGGTCTCTCTCCTGGCAATACTCAATAGGGGGACCCAGAAGCTTAGAAATGTTGCCATTGATTATCATCAATCACTGAGAAAAGTGCACAACCCCCCGCCCCCCGGCCCCCACTGCGGCTGGCCCCAGAAATGCTCTGCTTCTTGCTCTTCTCGGGTCTTAGCTGTCCAAGTTTTCTTGACTTTCATGAAATTCCCTAGTAGACTTTCAGCAAATTTCTCATTTTGCTTAAGCTGCACAGAACAGTTTTCTATTACTTGTACTCTGTTACTATTTTTTTTTAAAGCGTTCATTCAACTGCCAAAAATTCATTTATCCTGTGATTTAATGGTACCTGTCACTCTTGAACAGAGATGTTGCAGAGTAACATGTTGAACTTAGGTCTTAATGGCCACAGACAACTGACAGCTACAGCATTGGTAAGTGACTACAGTTTTGGCAGTCCTTACTCTGATGAAAATTAGAGATAGTCCCATATAGCATCAGGTTTTTAGTCAGGTAAGTTTGTACTTGTTACACATAGAGAGCGTTTTTAGTTTACTAGTTTATATTAGTGGTATGAATGACAATTATAGAAAAGGATTTTAGTTTCCAGTGGAATAAATAAGTGAGCCAAGTCAGGTTTTCCAAGACACAATATCAAAGGCACTATTATTAGATACATGCTGAGTCTAAGGAGTTGAGTATATACTTGAACTGGTTTCACTTCAATCTCATGCACCGGCATCTAATTGTACTGATTGAATTCAGTGGGTATTTTGAAGGCAATTGGTGCTCTCTAGCTAATTCTCCATGATAATCCTGAATATTAGAAAAGGTTGAATTCAAATTACATATCTTTGTCTTAAACGTCACATATTAATATATTACCATTGATACAGTGTGGCTATCAAGTGCTTATCAAAATAACTTTAGAATGAAAATGCCTTACCAAGAAACTAAAGTTGAGGAGTGCAGTTGGTCCCTTTAATATGAAACTTCCTAATAATGGACTTTAAAGTACTTTAAAAAGTTCGATAGCACTGCAGAGTGACTACAGTTAACAATAATATATTGTTTATTTCAAAATGGCTAGAAGAGATGATTTGATTGATAGTCCTTTAAGATTCAAAAGAGAAAACAAAAAAGGTGATTTGAAATGTTCCCAACACAAAGAAATGATAAACGTTTATGGCGGAGGACATGCTAAATGCCCTGATTTGATCATAACACATCATTTGCATATATCAAAATTTCACATGTACCCTGTAAATATGTGCAAGTATGATGTATTAATATAAAAAATAAAAAGTCATGGCCGGGCACGGTGGCTCACGCCTATAATCCCAGCACTTTGGGAGGCCAAGGCAGGTGGATCACGAGGTCAAGAGATCAAGACCGTCCTGGTCAACGAGGTGAAACCGCGTCTCTACTAAAAATACAAAAATCAGCTGGGCATGGTGGCGCACGCCTGTAATCCCAGCTACTCGGGAGGGTGAGGCAGGAGAATTGCTTGAACCCAGGAGGCGGAGGTTGCGGTGAGCCGAGATCCCGCCATTACACTCCAGTCTGGGTAACAAGAGCGAAACTCCATCTCAAAAAAAAATAAAGAAATAAAAAAATAAAAAGTCAGTATTATAGATTCCCCAAAGTAAAAGGCATGCCACTTAGTGGGTAGAAAGCAGTATTGCAGGGAAGAAAGAGCTAGGATTGCATGTATGATACTGGTTTCAGGACATTGTCAGTTTGCCCCAGGAAGATGAATGAGTAAACTGAGATGAAGAATGATTATATTAATTTTTGTAGAATTAAAGAGATAATTAACATTAGTGACATGACCATAAGCGTATATTGCTGAAGAAAGCATTTATTCATTTATAATAGTAGTTCTGAACCAGGGGTGATCTTGTGCCCCCAACCCCTGCCCCTGACCCAGAAAACATTTGGCAAAGCCAAGACATTTTTGGTTGTCACAAATGGAATGTGTGTATGTGTGTGCGTGTGTGCATGCGTGCACACATGTGGATGTGGTCCTGGCATCTAGTACCAGTGATGCTGCTAAATGTCATACAATGCAAGCAGAGTCCATGACAAAGAATTGTTTAGCCCTAAATGTTAATCATGCTGCTGTTGCAAAACTTGGTTTATAAAAATTAGATTCACATATTTTTGAACTAAAAAGTGCCTCCAACAGGTTTAGTCAAAACTCTTTTTCAGGCCAGGCGTGGTGGCTCACGCATGTAATCCTAGCACTTTGGGAGGCTGAGGCTGGTGGGTCATCTGAGTTCAGGAGTTCGAGACCAGTCTGGCCAGCCTGGCCAACATGGTGAAACCGTGTCTCTACTAAAAATACAAAAATTAGTCAGGTGTGGTGGTGGCGACCTGTAATCTCAAATACTTGGGAGGCTGAGGCAGGAGAATCATTTGAATCAGGAGGCGGAGGTTGCAGTGAGCCAAGATCATGCTGCTGCACTCCAGCCTGGGCAGCAAGAGTGAAACTCAGTCTCCAAGAGAAAAAAAAAAGCCACAAAACTATTTTTCGGATATTAATACAATTAGACCAGTTTAACTTCCTTATGAATAAACTATACTTTGTAATTTGGATTCATTTTATCAACAATAATTAGGTAATTTTGTAAACAGCTTCCAAAAGTCAGGAAAACTTTGAATCTTCACATGTAAGTTTCCCAAATCTTGCGTTTGCTTCTTACCAATTTAAAGGTAACTGGTAATTAAAATGCAATTGGTCCCTTTAATATAAAACTTCCTAACTGTGCACTCTAAGGTACTTTAAAAAGTTCAATAACATAGTAATTTAAAGGTAAGAAGAAAAGGGTTTTTTTCCATTCTTCATTTCCTGCTCCTATGCTCCTTTTAGTAGACTAAATAACTCAAGCACTGACCAGAAGCAAATATGGTGAGCACATTTAAAATGTAGATGGAACTTGTCTTTTTGTGAGATTATGATTTAATTTCCCCTAGATCTTTATAAGGAAATTTCTTTAGGTTATAGGCAGATAGGACCAAGCTTATTCTTAACGTTTTGAAATGCAACAGATTTCAAATTATCTGTAGATTCTGAGACGATTAATTCCTTCCTGTTGGAATTACTTCCTCTGTTTAAGGAAGAAAAGTGGTTGATTCACTTTCTTAACACCTCTGATGTTATTTACTTTTGCCCCATTGGTGTTAATAATGGATTTAATGATACCCAGAATGATACTGGCATAGACTCATGACTCGGTGATGCACATGTCTCAGTGATGTCTTAAGGATTACATCATATTAAGTATTTTTTAAGTCCAAATAACCATATATTTTGTAAAATTTAAGACTGTTAAAATGTAAAATCTTTTAGGAAATAATATCCAAACTCTGAGCCTAAATTCACAAAACTAAAATTCCAAAAATAATAGAATGTGTAAAAAAAGTATAAATATTCACAGTTTTGTTCCCCCCTTAGTTTTGCTAGAAAGTGTGCTACAAGGGGCCGGGCACGGTGCCTCATGACTGTAATCTCAGCACTTTGGGAGGCAGAGGCTGGCGGATCACGATGTTAGGAGATCGAGACCATCTTGGCTAACACAGTAAAACCCCGTCGCTATTAAAAATACAAAAAAATTTAGCCGGGGAGGCGGAAGTTGTTGTGAGCTGAGGTCATGCCACTGTGCTCCAGCTTGGGTGACAGAGAGACTCCGTCTGAAAAAAAAAAAAGTGTGCTACAGGTCTGAAGACATTTCTCTATGGGAAGTGCTTGCTTGGAAAACCACACTTGAAAAGTATTTGAAAAAGTCTATTCTTTCTTGATAAGTAATGTAGAGTTTTGCTTCAATTTTCCTACGTTTTAAATACTTAGTGTTTAGGCCAGTACTTCTCACATTCAGCAAAATGCTGGCTACATAATAGGCACGCAAAAACCATTTTGTTAAATGAATTAAAATTAATGAATAAATATTCAGATAAAAAATTTCTCCTTTTGCAGTGCATACTCCCGTGAAGCTGTCACCTACCTAGCAGCTAATCACGCATCTCCAATTTCCTGGTGCCAGCATAATCTGTTCACACATCAAATAAAGGTGTGCCAAACCTACTCCTTCTTGTTTCCTATTTATTTGAATGCAACCACAGTCCTCCTACTCACCCATTTCTCATTTTCTTTGACAAATGCTGCCTTTGCATCCTATTAAGATTGACACCCACCGACCGTGTTCTGCTTCTACTCTTGTTTCCCACAATTGGGTCTCAATTCCTGCTGCCACAACTTCCTCTACCTTTTGCTTGGACCGGTGAATACCCTCCGATTTTCCGTCCTCAGTCGCTTTTCATCAATCTATTCTCAATATTGTTGCTTGGTTGCACCTGCACTCCCTCACCCGCCACCAAACAACCCAGTTAGCGTAATGGTTAGGAGAAGGGACTCTGGCTCGGAGCATAATACAGTGATTGATCAAGAATTTAACCTCTGGAGCCAAACTGCCTGGCTTTGTCTGCCATCCGAGGACTTTTGCCAGCCTCATTTCTCACTGTGTAGACAACCCAGAACGTCTCCCTCCATCTCCCACCTAGCGTTTGTTTCTCACTTAACTTTTAAACTCCGGCTCACATGTCACTTTACCCACTTCCCGGAATTATAATCTTCCTCTCGGAACTGCCCTCGCACGGCATCTATACCTTTCAGTACCTGCTTTTGTACCATTATGTGCGTTTCTTTCTTTTTATAAAAAATCTCTTTTAGGGAACGCATATTTCTTGAGGGAAGGATATTAACGTTTTATTTTTATATCTCCAGTAAGTCACAGTGTGACTTGCACTGTGGTTGCTCGATAAATGTTAGGTGAATGACATCAATTGACAGAAATAAATCCAACTGTGAGTGTCTCCCCTTGAGGACCGTGTTTTGGTCTTCTGCCCGCTTTCCAGCTCCTGCACTGCGTCCAGGACGGGGAAGCTGGACCCTTATTAGGAGAACCCGGCCAGAGCCGGTTGTAGCTGCCAGGAACCCGCTCGCCCCGCCCACCCGCCGAGAGCTTGCGGCTCCGGCGACGCGCGGCCCCGCCCCTCGGCGCCAGGGCGCACGCGCAGAGCTGGAGTCGGCGCGGCGGAGCGCGCGGCTGCGGCCATCCCCTCCTATACCTCACCGCGCTCGCAGGGAACCCGTATCAGCGGCTGGTTAGGTTGCTGCGGTCGGTCGTCGTTATGGACTTTCCGTGGGACGACTTGGCTCTGACCTTCTCCCACACGTCCATGTTTCCCTTTTTTGACTTCGCGCACTATCTAGTGTCCGTGATGGCGGTGAAAAGTCAGCCCGGTGAGTGCGGGGCGCCGCGGGCCGGACCCCTCAGAGTGCCCCTGATGGCGAGGAACGTCTAAGTCGGGTGGGCGGCTGAACGGCCGCTAGCCCAGAAAGTTCGATGGTAGAGTTGGAGGGGCGCCAAGGGCTGGCTGGTCCGACTTACTGAGTGCAGATGGGGAAACTGAGGCCGGGGAAGGAGGCGCTAGTAGTCGTCAAAGGAGGCGTGACCTGGGGTCCGCGACGCCGCAGCCGGGGCGAGCGGGGCAGACCCTGCCACCGCCGGGGGAAGTCCCGGGACTGAGAAGCCGCCGCCGTGTTTCAGAACCACGGTACTGTCGCCAGCCCAGGGTTTGCACGGCCTCCTGGCGGTACCGCCACTCGCTCGCACAGTGTTCAAAAGTCACGTGAGGAGACAGCCGGTTTCTGACTTAGTCTCTTGGAGTTTCAGATGGTTGCGGACTACTCTGCAATTATGAAAGTTGTGCAAGCACTGAAACTGAAAAAGCCTCCTGTAGCCAGAACAGACTTCCCCTTCATGCAGTGAACATGTGAGAACGAGTGCGTTCCCGTTTCACAGTCACGACGGACACTGTAGAAGTAGGATAAACTGGCATACTTTCACTATCTGCAGTGGGGATATAATTGAAATTTTGAGTTCTTTTTTTTTATTTTTTATTGGATTTTAGGTTTTGGGGTACATGAGCAGAGCGTGCAAGACCGTTGCGTAGGTACGCACATGGCAGTGTGCTTTGCTTTGCTTCTCCCCTTCACCCACATTTGGCATTTCTCCAGGCTATCCCTCCCCACCTCCCCCTCCCACTGGCCCTCCCCTTTTCCCCCCAATAGACCCCACTGTTTAGTACTCCCCTTTCTGTGTCCATGTGTTCTCATTTTTCGTCACCTGCCTATGAGTGAGAATATGCGGTGTTTCATTTTCTGTTCTTGTGTCAGTTTGCTGAGGATGATGATGTTCTTCTCCATATTCATCCATGTCCCTACAAACGACACAAACTCATCATTTCTGATTGCTGCATAATATTCCATGGTGTATATGTGCCACATTTTTCCAATCCAGTCTATTATCAATGGGCATTTGGGTTGATTCCAGGTTTTTGCTATTGTAAACAGTGCTGCAATGAACATTCGTTTACATGTGTCCTTATAGTAGAACGATTTATAGTCTTTTGGATATATACCCAGTAATGGGATTGCTGGGTCAAATGGAATTTCTATTTCTAAGGCCTTGAGGAATCGCCACACTGTCTTCCACAATGGTTGAACTAATTTACACTCCCACCAACAGTGTAAAAGTGTTCCTTTTTCTCCACATCCTCTCCAGCATCTGTTGTCTCCAGATTTTTTAATGATCGCCATTCTAACTGGTGTGAGATGGTATCTCAGTGTGGTTTTGATTTGCATCTCTCTGATGACCAGTGACGATGAGCATTTTTTCTTATGATTGTTGGCCTCATATATGTCTTCTTTTGTAAAGTGTCTGTTCATATCCTTTGCCCACTTTTGAATGGGCTTGTTTGTTTTTTTCCTGTAAATCTGTTTGAGTTCTTTGTAAATTCTGGATATCAGCCCTTTGTCAGATGGGTAAACTGCAAAAATTTTTTCCCATTCTGTTGGTTGCCGATTCACTCTAGTGACTGTTTCTTTTGCTGTGCAGAAGCTGTGGAGTTTGATTAGGTCCCATTTGTCTATTTTGGCTTTTGTTGCCAATGCTTTTGGTGTTTTGTTCATGAAGTCCTTGTCTACTCCTATGTCCTGGATAGTTTTGCCTAGATTTCCTTCTAGGGTTTTTATGGTGCCAGGTCTTATGTTTAAGTCTTTAATCCATCTGGAGTTAATTTTAGTGTAAGGTGTCAGGAAGGGGTCCAGTTTCTGCTTTCTGCACATGGCTAGCCAGTTTTCCCAACACCATTTGTTAAACAGGGAATCCTTTCCCCATTGCTGGTTTTTGTCAGGTTTATCAAAGATTGTATAGTTGTAGATATGTTGTGTTGCCTCCGGTGTCTCTGTTTTGTTCCATTGGTCTATATCTCTGTTTTGGTACCAGTACCATGCTGTTTTGATTACGGTAGCCTTGTAGTATAGTTTAAAATCCGGTAGTGTGATGCCCCCCGCTGTGTTCTTTTTGCTTAGAATTGACTTGGCTATGCGGGCTCTCTTTTGGTTCCATATGAAGTTCATGGTGGATTTTTCCAGTTCTGTGAAGAAAGTCAATGGTAGCTTGATGGGGATAGCGTTGATTCTGTAAATTACTTTGGGCAGTATAGCGATTTTCACAATATTAATTCTTCCTAACCATGAACATGGAATATTTCTCTATCTGTTTGTGTCCTCTCTGATTTTGTTGAGCAGTGGTTTGTAGTTCTCCTTGAAGAGGTCCCTTACGTTCCTTGTGAATTGTATTCCAAGGTATTTTATTCTTTTTGTAGCAATTGTGAATGGCAGTTCGTTCTTCTTGATTTGGCTTTCTTTAAGTCTGTTATTGGTGTAGGCGAATGCTTGTGATTTTTGCACATTGATTTTATATCCTGAGACTTTGCTGAAGCTGCTTATCAGTTTCAGGAGTTTTTGGGCTGAGGCGATGGGGTCTTCTAGGTATACTATCATGTCGTCTGCAAATAGAGACAATTTGGCTTCCACCTTTCCTATTTGAATACCCTTTATTTCTTTTTCTTGCCTGATTTCTCTGGCTAGAACTTCGAGTACTATATTGAATAGGAGTGGTGAGAGAGGGCATCCTTGTCTAGTGCTGGATTTCAAAGGGAATGCTTCCAGTTTTTGCCCATTCAGTATGATATTGGCTGTTGGTTTGTCATAAATAGCTTTTATTACTTTGAGATACGTTCCATCGATACCGAGTTTATTGAGGGTTTTTAGCATAAAGGGCTGTTGAATTTTGTCAAATGCGTTCTCTGCATCAATTGAGATAATCATGTGGTTTTTGTTTTTGGTTCTGTTTATGTGGTGAATTACGTTGATAGACTTGCGTATGTTGAACCAGCCTTGCATCCCCGGGATGAATCCTACTTGATCATGATGAATAAGTTTTTTGATGTGCTGTTGCAATCCGCTTGCCAATATTTTATTGAAGATTTTTGCATCCATGTTCATCATGGATATTGGCCTGAAGTTTTCTTTTCTTGTTGGGTCTCTGCCGGGTTTTGGTATCAGAATGATGTTGGTCTTGTAAAATGATTTGGGAAGGCTTCCCTCTTTTTGGATTGTTTGAAATAGTTTTAGAAGGAATGGTTCCAGCTCCTCTTTGTGTGTCTGGTAGAATTCGGCTGTGAATCCGTCTGGACCTGGGCTTTTTTTGAGTGGTAGGCTCTTAATTGCTGCCTCGACTTCTGACCTTGTTATTGGTCTATTCATAGTTTCAGCTTCCTCCTGGTTTAGGCTTGGGAGGACACAGGAGTCTAGGAATTTATCCATTTCTTCCAGGTTTACTAGTTTATGTGCATAGAGTTGTTTGTAATATTCTCTGATGATGGTTTGAATTTATGTGGAGTCTGTGGTGATTTCCCCTTTATCATTTTTTATTGCATCTATTTGGTTGTTCTCTCTTTTATTTTTAATCAATCTGGCTAGTGGTCTATTTTGTTGATCTTTTCAAAAAACCAGCTGTTGGATTTATTGATTTTTTGAGGGGTTTTTCGTGTCTCAATCTCCTTCAGTTCAGCTCTGATCTTAGTTATTTCTTGTCTTCTGCTGGGTTTTGAGTTTTTTTGATCTTGCTCCTCTAGCTCTTTCAATTTTGACGATAGGGTGTCAATTTTGGATCTCTCCATTCTCCTCATATGGACACTTATTGCTATATACTTTCCTCTAGAGACTGCTTTAAATGTGTCCCAGAGGTTCTGACATGTTGTGTCTTCGTTCTCATTGGTTTCGAAGAACTTCTTTATTTCTGTCTTCATTTCATTGTTTACCCAGTCGACATTCAAGAGCCAGTTGTTCAGTTTCCATGAAGCTGTGCAGTTCTGGGTTGGTTTCTGTATTCTGAGTTCTAACTTGATTGCACTATGGTCTGAGAGGCTGTTTGTTATGATTTCAGTTGTTTTGCATTTGTTGAGCAGTGCTTTACTTCCAATTATGTGGTCAATTTTAGAGTAGGTGTGATGTGGTGCTGAGAAGAATGTGTATTCTGTGGATTTGGGTTGGAGAGTTCTGTAAATGTCTATCAGGTTTGCTTGTTCCAGGTCTGAGTTCAAGCCCTGGATATCCTTGTTGATTTTCTGTCTGGTTGATTTGTCTAATATTGACAGTGGAGTGTTAAAGTCTCCCACTATTATTGTGTGGGAGTCTAAGTCTCTTTGTAAGTCATTAAGAACTTGCCTTATGTATCTGGGTGCTCCTGCATTGGGTCCATATATGTTTAGGATCGTTAGCTCTTCTTGTTGTATCGATCCTTTCCATTATGTAATGGCCTTCTTTGTCTCTTTTGATCTTTGTTGCTTTAAAGTCTATTTTATCAGAGATGAGAATTGCAACTCCTGCTTTTTTTTGCTCTCCATTGCTTCTAATTTTGAGTTCTTTTAACCATGTGATCAAGGGACAGCAGTTGTATTTTCTTGGATTTTACACTGGGTATGTTTGCTCAAATCCTGTTTACTTTTGTAGTTTTTCTACCGTTCTTTTAGTTGTATGCATCTCTTCTTTCTTTGGGGTCAGGCATTTCTTTGCCTACTTTCTTTGTGTTCATGCTGCCTTTCATTTGCCTTCCCCCCAGATAGTTGATAAGTGCTGGAGAATGATGCTGTCCCTTCCTTATGGACTACTTACTGGTTTTTAAAAATTCTTGGACTTCAGAAATATTTTTCATTTATGTTGAAGTTTGTAGCTCAGTTTAAATCATTGGTACAATTTTTGACCTGGAATAAGGATGGTATTACTGTATTAAAGTAGAACACGTTATCTGCCTAAGATATTATTTCTTTGATTTGAAAAAAGTAAGTTTTGTTGCTACTACATATTCAGAATTTTATTTTTTTAAAAAGTTT